GAGGCGCAGTCTGGGGGTTGCAAGGGTTGCCTGGGTGTCCCACATCTGGGCATCCCTGCAGCTCCCTTCTTCAGCTGGTGTGAGCTCGGCAATGAAGTCTGTCAGGGCTTGTGATTTGATGGCTGTCCTTGGTTGGTACTGAATGTAGAACTCCCCGAGTTGCACTTCCCATTTAAGAAGTCTGTCGGATACGTCTGGCTTTCCCAAAATTCTTTTAAGAGGTTGGTCTGTGATGACCATTATGCTGTGACTCTGAAAGTAGTGTCATAGTCGTCTTGCCGTTGTGATCAAGGCGAGCGCCAATTTTTCTAATCCTGAATATCTGATCTCTGCCCCCGGTATGCCCTGCTTACGTAATAAATTGACTTCTGCACTCCATTATCATATTTGATGAGTACTGAGCTTACTGCTGATGAGGAAGCAGAAAGATATAGATGGAGAATTTCTCCCGGAGTGGCATGTGATAGGAGGGGAGGTGTGGCTAGGTAGACCTTGAGCCTTTGGAAGGCCTCCTCCGCCTCAGGTTCCCACTCAAAGGCCTTTCGGAGAATCTTGAAGAAAGACAGACATTTGTCTGCAGATTTGGAAATAAACCTATTGAGTGCAGCGATTCTTCCATTTAGGCGCTGGAGCTCCTTGGTCGAGGAAGGTGACTTCATGTCGAGGATAGCCTTGATTTTATCGGGGTTCGCCTCAATTCCCCTCTGATTGACCATAAAGCCCAAGAATTTTTTAGACCCTACGTCGAAGGCGCACTTTTCAGGATTGAGCTGGACCTAAGGACATTGAAAGTTTCTTGGAGGTGATCAATGTGGTCTACTGCTACGAGACTTTTCACCAGCATGTCATCCACATACACCTCCATTTTTTGTCCGATCTGAGACTGGAATATCTTGTTCACCAACCATTGACAGGTTGCTCCTGCGTTCTTTAGTCTAAAGAGCATGACCCTGTAGCAATAAGTTCCCTTCGGAGTGATGAATGATGTTTTCTCTTGGTCTGGGGGGTACATGCTAATCTGGTTGTACCCAGAGTAAGCATCTAGAAAAGTGAGCAACTCATGCCCCGCGGTGGCGTCGATGAGGTCGATCCGTGACAGCGGGTAACAGTTTTTTGGGCACGCCTTGTTGAGTTTTGTGAAGTCGATGCAGGGACGCCACTTTCCATTAGTTTTAATGACCATCACCACGTTGGAGAGTCACTCAGGATACGCTACTTCCCTGACGGCCCCGTTATCTATTAGCTTCTTCACCTCCTTATCCATAGCTTGGCCCCTTTTAGTGGAGGCACCCCTTAGCTTTTGGCGGACAGGCTTGTGGCGTGGGTCCACATTGAGACGGTGTGTGGCCACTTCTGGGTCAATTCCCTCAAGGTCTGCATGTGACCAAGCAAAGACGTCCATGTTACGTCTCAAAAAGTCTAATAGCCAGCCAACCAGGTCTTCAAAAAGGGAAGAGTCGATATATACTCTTCTGTCAGGGTGCTCCTTATCCAAGGCTGTAGAGGTGAGCTCCTCAACTGGTTCTCCTCTCTCTATTGTGGTGTCATCCCTCGGATCAAGGACCTCCACTTGCAACGCTTCCTGTGGCTTCCTAGTCTTCATGGAGGAGACATAACACTCTCTCTTCGACTCCATTCGTGGTTAGAAAGCGAAGGATGAGGTGATAGGTGGAGGGCACAACTCTTAATGTGTAAAGAGCAGGTCGCCCCAATATGATATTGTAGGCTGATGGACAGTCTTTGACCAAGAAATTGACCATGAATGTGGAGCTTCGGGGCGACGCTCCGGCTATGACAGGTAGGGTGATGGACCCTAAGGAATATACCTTTTACCCTAAGAACCCAATGAGGGGTGATCTGATAGGCTGTAGTCTCTCTCTGCCCAGGTTGAGCTTGTCATAAACCTCTGCGAAAAGGATATCCGCAGAGCTACCACTATCCACCAAGATCCTGCGTACCTGAAAATTGGTCACGGTCATGGTAAGCACCAGGGGGTTGTCATGGGGTGCTGGATTGCCTCTGGGTCCTTATTTGAGAAAAATATGATCTTGCTGCCGCCTTGCTTTGGCATTTTGGATGGGCGTATCTCGTCGAGGTGTCTTGCCTTTATGGCTTGGGCCTTTATTGCAGAGAGTGATTCTTCACCTCCAGCTAGTCCTCCCAAGATGGTGTGGATCTCCCCCATGGGCTGCTGGTCTTCTTGATTGTGAGGTGGTGGTGCTTATTCTCTGCCAGCAACATACTGACGTAGGTGGCCGCAGTGGATGAGTTCCTCAATTTGTCTTTTGAGGTCATAGCAATCGTCGGTGTCATGCCCATGGTTGCGGTGGAAACGACAGTACTTGTTAGGATTTCTGCGATTTGGAGGAGACATCATATTTCCTGGCCACTTTATGGTGGGGTCATCCTGGATCTGGAATAGGATGTGCCCGACAGTGGCATTGAGGGGAGTGAAGGCTTGTCGGTCCCTTTAAGGAGTAGGACCTAGCCGGTCTTTGACAGGAACCCTCTTTGTTTTGCAGCGTTTGTTGCTAGTCTCCTTCTTGTCTTTTCTCTCTCTTTCCTTCCTTTTTTCCCTTGTTGCTCTGGAGGACTCACCTCGTCTGGCCCTAGTAATGTCCTCAACATTCATGTATTTCTGGGCCTTTGCTAGCAGTTTTGGCATGCTCTTTGGTGGGCACTTCATCACTGAGAAAAGGAAGCTTAACGAGCGGAGGCCTCCCAAGAAGGCAGTCATCGTCACTTTGTCGTCGGGTTCATCAACTTGGAGTACCTCCTCGTTAAAATGAGTAAGGCTCCATGTCCTGCTTTATGCTAAGCAAATGGGTGACAGGCTTTCTGGTGGCGACGCCCCCCAATAAAATATGATACGAATGACCTGCTCAGCTCAACAAAGGAGGTTGGGGGGAGCTTAGCGAATCATTGTCGTGCGGATCCCTTCAATGTGGTTGGAAAGGCCTTGCACATAATTTCGTCTGGGACGTTGTGCAGCTGCATCAGAGTCTTGTAGGTGTCAAGGTGGTCTAGTGGATCTTTTGTTCCGTCAAAGGTCTCCATAGATGGCATTTTGAACTTTTGTGGGAGGAGATAGTTCACCACGTTAGGTTTGAAGGGCGTGTCCGTACATCTTAACAGGTAGTATATTGTCTCGGGTCCCTGCGCCTTCATGGCATTGAAGACGTCACCCAATTAATTTTGCACTTCCTTGATCTTCTTATCCCACTGGTTGGGGGGTCCCTTAAAGTGATCATGGAAATGACTCACATGTTCTATACTTTGGTTTGCGCCCTCATCCTCCTGAAAATAAGGGTCCTCACCATGGTAAGCAGGAGGAGGAGGAGGAGGAGGTGGAGGTGGAATTCCCTCATGATGGGCTCCCCTGTGTGGGGCGCCCAAGGGGACTCCAAGGGGGGCGCCTTGGTGTGGTGCAGCAGGGCGTGAAACTCCTTGATGCCCAGGGCGTGGAGCTCCTTGGAGTCCTCCATGCTGTGCACCTCCAAGTTGCGCTCCCCCTCGTCCAACGAGCATGAGTTGCAGTATTTGTTGGTTTTGGACCACCAGCTGCTGCATGGTCTCCAACATTTGCTGTGGATTTGGAGCTAGAGCATTTGGGACATGGTTGGTGGGTGGAGGAGCAACCTCCTCCTCTCGTGATAGATTGCCTTCATGTTGGTTCATGGATCTGATTGTGATCGTCATTAATTCAGCAAATGGAATGTTTAGGAGTGAGAATTTTGTCGTTTCCCACAGACAGCGCCAAACTGATGATGCACAAAAATGGTTTTGCACACCACCTGTCAAGTGTGAATAATAAATCAAGAAAATAATATCGGGAGATGGAGAGACACAGACAATTTATAGTGGTTTGGTCAGCTCGACCTACATCCACTCTTCAATGGCTCTGGTTGCCGAGTATTTTATTAACTCAAGGGTGTGGGGAGCAGAGAGTACAATCTTTGAGGAGAGGAGAGAGTCGTGCTCAGGGGATGTGTGATGCCCCTCAAGTGTTGGTGGAGTGTGCAATTTATAGTGGCCCCCTAACAGGTTGGGGTTATTTTACAGCAACTAAACAACCATTTCAGTGGAACTCACGACTTCTTCTCAACGGGCGAGGTGGTTGAGATGTTCTCCATGAGATGCGGTCAAGATAAGGTGAGGGTGGACTGTTTTCTTGGCGGTGCAGGTAAGACTCCCGTGCTCTCTCTCTCTTGATGACGTAGCCGAACTGATGAGACTGGACGGCTTAGTGGGTCTTTATAAGACTGAGCTCTTCAATTGAAGTTTGAATTTTCCAAATAAATTGAGTTTTTCTTGGGCTTGACCCATCACAAATAACATTTCTCAAAAATTTAAATAAGATATAAAAAGAGAGACGGGAGAAGAGATGAGAAAGGAATTAAAGACAAAAAGAGAGATAAAAGTGATAATAGGACGAAATAGAGATATGAGAGAAAAGAGATTTAGTTAACAACAGGAGAGAGTTTGCGAAAACTCATAAATGTGCAAATTAAGATAACTAATATTATTGTCATTAAAAATTTTAAAAATAACAACTTAAGATCACACACGGACAAAACTAAGATTCAATTCCGACAGGGTCAAATATTGGCATAGTCAACAATTTTATGCGAACTTTTTATTTAAAAAAATTTCATTATAGATAAATTTATAATTTACAGAATGTATCAAGATTAATATTTGTACAATACTATTGAAAAATATTAGTTTAGCTTATAAAATAAAAAAATTGTTTTACACTTGTCATATTTTTATTATGAATTTTTTTTTAAAAAAAAAATATTAAAATCTTAAAATATAACACCCATCTGATGTTTAAATTCTTACGTCTGATTCTCAAACGTACCAGAGCCTCAACAGCATACCACCATGGACGAAAGAGCACGATTCGCATCTAGCTGTCCAATCAAAAAGGTGGTTCAACAAAATGCTCAAAATCCACATCCGGAAAACATAAAACGAGAGTCTAAAGAAAGAATAGGAAGCCAGAATCGAGTGTAATCATCTCCTTTTGTGCTCTTCTATATATACAAGCATAACATCAAGCACAAGGATAAAATCAAATGATATTTTACAGTGAGAGGTGGTAATAACCCACAAAGTAGGGGATATAAGGAATATTTCAAACATAAAACAACAATGATATTTACAATTAACAGAGAACAGATCTCAAGCGAAGCACAATTGAGTGGTTTTGGTCTGAACAAGAGAAGGCACTCAGAACCCCACTGGAGAATTTTGTATATATTCGATATGGCTCAACAAGACGAGCCCCCATTTTTAGAGAGCCTTCAAAACAAATTTGCTCGATGTATGAACCCCCATTGCAGCGAGTCTCAATACAGCACGAGTCTTGTACAACCTGAAAAGTGAATCTCAAGTGAGCACATCCAGATCTATTCCTACAACAACACTAATTTGTACCAGTATTGTACATCCTTTTTTATATAATGCAGGCATGTGGCCAGAGACGGAGTCAGAATTTTATTAAATGTGGAGAGGGTAAACAGTGGCACTGTTATAAATTTTATTCACTGGGGTCATCCAACAAGTCATTGTTACCATAAATTTTTTAGTCACGTATAACTGACAAAAAACAACCGTTGAATGATATCATCATAAAATTAGTGTTATAAAACCCGAGTTTTATTTAGTAATTAATTTTTGACAGTATCATAATCCACTATTCTCTCATTTGTGACTTGATGCAATAACTACGAGTAAATTCCCATTAGAAATAGTAGTTCCACACGATTAAAGTTAGTTGAGTCGGTGCAAAACTAGTGATATCAATAACGTAAGTCACCAGACTTTGCAACGTCTTCACTTTTTTTTTCCTTGGGTTATCAACACGCATCTTTCTTTGTAAGAGTTGTGCTCATCTATAAGGTTGCAATATCTCCCATTTGGTTATTAATTATGAGGCCATTAAGCTGTTTGTATACACTAAATGAAGTACCCTATGTACATAAGAATATTTTTGAAAACTTAATGGGAAGCAAACCTAAGGAGGATATAGGGTATTTTTGAATATTTAAGGTCACAGGGTGGCTCCGTCCATGCAAGTGGCTAACAAGTTGAGACACATTTCTGCTAGGCATGTCAGAATTTGAAAATCCCATAAACATTATAACAGTTTGCCTTTGAATGCCCACACCAGGTTTTATGATAATGTTTAAACATAATCATAAACATTATCACTTTTTCTTACCAAGTAAATTAGTATGATTGTCAAAAGACACAACTCACAATACTTCAAGCCTATAACTTAGAAACTTTAAACCTATGAACAGTGGGGACTCCAAACAACCATTCAGGGCAAACTTTTCTTCATCATGAATTACCAATTCATTAAATCTAAATCCAGAGCAATTTCAATCGAACAAGTCCACAAAAGACTCTGTCCGATGCAGTCAAACATTCATGTTTATAGTGCATGAAAAACGTGTGACATTTTAATCGTTCAGACAAAAAATACATGACACGCCATCTTCAAAAATCAAAGATGGTGCAAATAGGTAATTCTGGAAAGTCAATACTTGTGCGGGGCCAATGTTTAACTATGATCAATTTTAATGGCAGAAGGGAATTGAAGGTAAATTTCTCAAGAGCAAACAAAAAATTGCAAGAACAGTTAGAACTCACCCTGCTAGAGCAAGTCCCCAAGTGGACAGGGCACAAAACATCTTCCCAGCATGCCAAACATGTAACATCTTCTCAAACTTGTTCATGCCACCCAATGCTTTGGTCAGGGCTGCCAGTTCAAATTTTCATGTCATGAGACCAGACATTAGTATCAAATCACGTCAATAATATATTCCTCTTAGTTTAATAAGGCACCCACCAGAAATAATATTAATTGAAGTTACTCCTTTTAGTTTAATAATATATTCCACTTTGTACATGCACTACAGCACAAGCATTAACCTGATGAATTAAACTAATATAGTGAAAACAAATTGCACAAAATTTGAACGGATAAAGTTAAAACAGGCAATGGGACACTTGAATCTTGAAATTGAGTGTATTCTTATAATTATCCGGCATATTTTGTCCCCAATTATTCGTTCTATTTAGTAGAGACCATAAGAGGGATCATTTAAAAAGATATAACTTCCTTTTAATTTTCATGGATTCTTTATATGGCTAAAATGGACTCATCCTTTGATATTTCGACCTCTTAAAGATAAATCATAACTAAATGGGATTTGCAAAACACATTGCAGTAGAGGATACGTTATTCTCATCTCCACCACGTTAGCTAGAATAAATAATCAGATGGGTTTTTGAACTTCCAAACATTTCAGGATGCAGCTTACATAGCTAATGGTGAAGGCAACTCCGTGAATGTGATATCTAGGACTACATATGTACCACAAATCATCGTGCTACTTCCGACCTAATTAAAGAGATTAATCATCTCAGCACTCCATTGGATTTCAAGGATCCCCAGGTTCACAAATTACCAAGGCCATACATCATGAGGGAAAATCATCTATGTTGCTGTGCACTCATCTATTTATTGTTTTGTCTGCCTTTTAGTGTATCTGCATGTTCGTCGTTCTAGTCCGTTCATAATTTTGAAGGAGACTGTTGCTTCACTCTTATTTCAATAATCCCAACTTGTACAAAAAACCTGGGAAAAATAAGAGCATGATCCAATTAAAATGACCAAGGTCATTACAATGGTAGTTGTTCTACTACAAGATTAGCAGCAGATAATAACAGGTTAAAGAAGTGAAGATCCCCAAACAAGAAGGATTATCTGATAATAGTAATGCCTGAGTTCCAGAAAATTTTTGAAAAAATAAAAATCAGAAACACAAGTAAATTCTCCAGGACCAAATCCAAAATATGATAGTTATTGGCATTAATATTTCCAAAAAAAATGACTGGGGAAAAAAGATAAAAGACATTAAGGCTACACCATTCTAATTGAGGATGTGGACACCGTTGCCTTGTTGCTCGCATCATGATTTTTCACTTTCTAGCATTTAGAGGACTCCTTGTCCTCTCATGTACCTTTTTCACTTTCATTATTAATAATATTCTCTTGTTTCCAATCAAAAAAGGTGACATTGTCTAGAAATGGAAAATATTACTTATTCCATGAAAGGTTTTATCAGAGACAAAATGTTGACATTCCAGGGCAATATCCTAATGTTCAGAACATAAAACTACACACTTACTCTTCTGCAGCGCCTCAGATGTCATACTCTGCAAGTCCAAGTGACCAAAGCAATATGAGATTCCTTGTGTTTTATTCCATTAGAGAAAACAATAGCAAAACATTTAAGCATCATACACCTGAGCTTTAGGGTTTGACAGCATGCATCTAGCCATAAAGTTGGCCACCCCATCCACCACATGTTCTTCGCTAATAAGTACATAATTCTCATTATCGATTCCACTCCATTCTTCAACATTACTAGGAACCATTTCATCAGTAACCCACACCCACCAACTTGGTTCTTCAAGATCAACATTGATTAGAATTTCAGCCGACTGTTTATCAGCTCCTAAATAAACAACCAAAACAAAATAACCATCAGATGACACGATTTTGTGACTAAGAAATAATTTTTAAGTGTAAGTATATGATTACAAGTATAACTGAATGTCATAAGATGGAAGAAACAAAAAAACTCCTTTGTTGCGGATCAAAATAAAAAGAAGAAACAAGAGAACCTGAGGCCTCCTTAAAAGGAAATTTGCAGCCAGTTCCATCAGCCGATTTCTCATGGAGGGATTTAAGTTGACTCAAGAAGCTAGTAGAATCGACTGTAGCCAAGAGACGGTCATGGAGCTGCCAAAATAAAAAAATCCACTAATTTGAATTTGGTGCATTCTCCAAAATGACAAAAAGGTGCATTCATACAAACAAAATTAATGAAAGCCATTCCAACCCAATAGATTCTGAGACAAATTCACCTTAGGAAAATGTAATACAGAATCCAAAGCATAGGTCAACGCCCAACACAAGTATGAGTTAAAGAAACATGACTCCAAAATAAATTCCACCATGTCATTGCCTAGTTTACTCCCTGATGACCAGGGACCTCGCAAAAGGTGGATTGGGTATTAAACTACTCTGGAGCATTATTTGCACAAACTAGATAAGCTTATATCTGAATCCATATCTTTGTGGTTGTTAGCCGATTCTGTCTGTATCTTATCTATATATAATCCCTAAAACTATACTAGAAGGTCTTTTTTTTTTTTTTCTTGCTAGATAACTAGAGGGGTTTGCCTTGGGGTAAATTAGGTTCCGACCTAAACATTGATATTATTAGCTAAAAATGGCTCCGCTGAATTGAAATGCACAACCTTGTGTAAAATCGACATATTCCTTGCTTTAGATTCGACAACAAAACATGCAACATATCACTGCAATGAGACAAAAATTTGGGACCTGAAAACCCGTGAGACCATAGGGTTTTGATCTTGTTTGCGGCATATTTGCTAATATTGAAAAAACACATGTAAACCTACATAATCCATTAATTCTATGCATATATATACTTTTGTGCAGAGGTAGAAACCACCAAGAAAATGTTGTAGTACCCAATTCAACAAAAATAACACGAAAATTCGATTCATAGAACAAATTCAAACGTAATATACGCACATCAGAAGGGCAATCTTGTAATAAACAAGGAGATTCGGAAAGATTCTGAAGGAGCTTGAGGTTCTGTTCGAGTAAGTTCCTCAGCCGTTGATTCTCAGCTCGCAGAGCCTCAAATTCTTCCTCCTCCGACAACGACGTCGTATCCCTAGAATCTCCATCACCCTCGTGATTTTCATGCGGGTCGCGGTGGTGGAGGTGCTGGCAACATTCCACGGCGGTCCATGCAACGTCGGCCACCTCCAACACCGTCTTCGCCACCTCTATTGGGTTATGTCCGACCATGCTTATTTCTCTAAATTTCCCCTTCTCTCTGTGGAGTTTGGGAGTGATTTTGAGGTCGAAGAAACCCTAGATTATGGAACAGTCAGGGAGACTCGTGAAGGACGGGCTTGATTTCTTCGTCTTCGTTCTTGTCGATGATTGAAGCGTCTTTAATGTTCCGGGATATGACCACGTTTGGCAAAAGGTCATCCGCCGAATTTCGCCGTACAGTGCACGATAGGATGGGAGAAATCGGCAACTCCTTGTCCTTTTAGAAGCACCCGTGCTTTTTGCACGTGTGTTATTTTTTGTAATTTTTTTACAATATATTAAATTTAAGAAAGAATTACACTTAAACTCCTGAAATTTATCACTTATTCACTCAAACTCATAATATTTAAAATATTATATACAAACTCTACGAAGTTTTTGCGTGCATAACCCTTATATCTTTCGGTCAAATGTCTGCTCAGACCTTTTATAGTTTGTAAGCATATAATACTTAAACCTCTCAAGTTTAAAATATTATACTTTGACAAAAAAATATTTTAATCAAATATAAAATATAAAATATTTTAAATTTTACAATCAAAATTCATTTTCTATTGTCTCATTTATTTAAACAAAATAAAAAATAAAAGTCAATTTTTTTCTTAAAATATTATAATTAGTATACAATTATATTATCTATTGGATAAGAATCCTTGCATTTTTAAGCTCTAGACATTCTGTATGCATCCTGCGATTAATGTTTTATATAACCAGATTTGTCAAATTGTATCTACAAATATAATAGAAATTTTATGAAATAGCAAAGAGAGAACTCTTAAGAGACAATGAACTACCAAATATATTGGATTAGTACAACATATCATCAATACTAATAATTCTAGAGAAGGTACAAAATGTAACAGTAGCTAATGGTTACACGTAACCAGACCAAAAAAAAAAAACCTAACCATGTCATATTTATTTTGACGATCGTAGATTCAGACCAGGTCTAAGCCTAATTTATGGGTTAAGCCCAAATAATAAAAAAACAAGTCACATTTAACTCATAATCTCGGTCCAATCGAAAACTCAATAGTTCAAAAAGATCAACGCACGCGTGGAATAAACATCTGAATAGCTATTACTTAAAGATAACATGTATCCTTAATTATAGCTATCATCTTCGAAAGAATAGTAGTTTGATTTTTACGTTACCGCCTCAGATAAGGCTCTGTGCCTATAAATTATAAGTTCTCTACACCTGAGATGGAGACATCTATTTATCATACAGAGATCTCACACACCTCACATTAAACATACTGTTGCACTCTCTCTCTCTTCTCTACTATTTTTTTACTCTCTTATTAGTAGAGTTTTTCGACTACCTTTACCACTTTCAATGGTTAGGTCAATCAGACCCAACCAACAAATCTTTATCTCTTATTATTAATTATTTTATTAATTGTTCTACATCACACACCAGACCGATTGATAGTAAATAAATCCACTTTTCTTTATCATCCTATCTCATTAAAAGAGGCCTATCAATAAAGATACCACATCCCTTCTATTGGGATTTGATTGGTAAAACATTTGGGATATATAATATTAAAAACCCTCTTGCCAGAGATGAAGAAAATCTACATGAGGCATATCAAGGCTGCCAAAAATACACATGAGCTTTAAAATGGCTGGGCTGAGGGCCAAGCTCCTATTTTTAATAGAGTCAATATCATTAGATTTTGAATCAACTCATATCAAGGCAATCAGACAAAAAAAAGGTGTATACTAAATGGTCAACCTACAAAGGTCTGAACTAGTGTATCCAACAATACAAAGAACTTCTTGCAGTATAAATTGGTTTGCCATACAGAAGAAAATCATCTAATACCTGGATCAAAGGAGATCAAATTTCCAGCAATAATAAAGCTCATATTGGCAAATGTAATACCTAGATCAATGTGTTTTTGTTGGCACCAAGTAAGACCTCCTTCTTCAATGTGTGAGATTGAATGAAAGAATCAAGATGGTTGACCTTTTTGGACTTGGGGATCTACGATTGTTCTTGAAACTCTCTAGAAAACTTTGGGTCTTTTCTAATTCATTGAGGTTTATCTTAGGTTGAGAAAGACTCCCTCTATTCATAGGCAACAAATTAGAATTGTCTGGTTCATGCTTGACAGCTCAAGCAGTGGAAGGGCTAACAATCAGAGGGCAATACTTGCTGGAATGAAAATTGGATTCAAACCACGTTAGGGGGGCTTGGACCGCTCGAGCGGCTCAGAGGACGATTCCTGTTGCTCTTATCCTTTAGCCTTTCCCACTTTATTCTCTAAGTGTTGAGAGACCTTTCTAGCAAAAATTAGCAAACATAGGATGATCCCTACTTGTTTTTTAAGAGTAAAATCAAGCAAAAAACTAGCCAACTTGTACACTAAATGAAGTTGTTCAAATAAGGTCCAATAATGACTCAATCTATATTTTTAAAACACATTTAAAGTTAAGAAAATCTTTTGTTGAAAAACACCAAGGAGTTATATTCGGAACAATTACTTATTTTACTTTAACACTAATCATCCTAAGTCTAATGAATTAAACCAATGATAATCTTATGTCTTTAAGGCCATTTATCTTTGTCCTAAACAAGAAAGTGCATATAGAGCCTTTCTTTGATGCAGCTTGAAGAACAAACGCCTCCCTCCTTTTGTTGCTTTCGAATTTTCATCGTTGTAACTTCATGATCATGGAATGAGTTACGATTTACGTACAAATTTCACGAAATTAGTCAATTACAAAATATGTTCCAGACAAAAGGATTAATAAAACACTATTGTGCTTGATGATCGTGGATGATTGGCCTGTCAAATGCAATAAAATACATAAGATAAAATTAATGAAATAAAATATAATTTATGGATGCAATTGATTTAAAAAGATCAAGGAATATGAGAGAATTATGTATTAATTTAAGAAGATAAAAGGATATAAGTAGTATAAATTAAGACCAAAGAATCTAAACGGTTTAAGTGCTTAGTTTAAGAAGATAAAAGGATATGAGAGATACAAAGTTCTTATCATTTTTTTTGTTTTGTTTTGTAGGACACATTAGTAATTTGAAGGTTTAAATGGATGAGGATAGTATCAACATTAATCGTTTTGTTAATGTTATTATAATTAATCAAAAAATTTTAAATTTTATTGACATTTTATAGTAGTATAGATATAAATTTTTTACAAAAGTACTAAAAAACCCTTCAAAAATGTTGAAAATCCATTTAATTTCATGATGATATCCAAAAAAGTTCACAATTAAAATAATCAGTAATAAAGAGTAATGACTTCTTTTGGGTGTTGATTATTTACTTTATAATTTTTTATACATCCAACAAGTTCACAATTAAATAACCAATAGTAAAAATTCCAGTTATTAGTTTTTCCTGAAGACCTAAAACCCTAGTTGTTTGGACCAAAATGTCCTCAAAGGCATTTTTTGGGTTTGATTATATTACTTATATATTACAGTTAAATAGTTTATTCATTTTCTCTTTTGAAGCTATTAAGTTGTATTATATTCCTGTAACTCTTGTAGGACAATCATATTTTGCTTATGTAATTTGTTCTAAATTATTTAAAACTCTATCATAAAAATATCTTATCCCAATTTATCTTTTCACATAGACATTTTTTTTTTAGTTACACATTTACGTATTATTCTCATATCACTTTTGATTTATTCTAAAATCAAAAGAATTGAACACAACGATTGCCACCAATTTGTTTGAATTTTTTTTTGTCTTCTTTTTTTTTTTGGTTAAGGGTCATAATGTATGGCCAAGTTCTGTGAAATTTTGTGACATCTAATCAGATTAGTGTTTTTCATGGCAATATTTATTTCCCTATTTTGGATTTTAAGATTTACATCCAAACTATAAAGAAAACAAATATATATATCTCCCTTAGTTTTTTGGGTCCTTATGGGTTGTTGCATATTCATTTTCTCAACTAGTCTTGGAAAGCAGGATTCTTGTCTCCTTCCTTGCATTATTTCCGAATAATTATCATGCTTTTTTATTTTTAGTTATTTTAAATTGTATGGTATAGTATGTGGTGAATGATTTTTTTTTTTTTTTTGGTGTGGCAAGTGATGTAGTATATAAATATTTTTACCATACAAATCCTTGAATGTATGTTAAACAAAGACCTCTACCGAATACCATGAAATGGCCTCGTACGACCAATGGGAGGTGAGGGTCACTAACTTTGACATGGGCAGTAGGGCCTCCTTAAAGAATTACGAGAATATGTCTTCAAAAACCTACGAAGGGTAAATAGTATCCGAAAGAAAGGAGAAAATCTCATGAGCGGAGCTTAATTTATTTTGGGTTTTTTTTTTTTGGAATATGTTGTGTTTCATTTTTGGAAATACCTGTTGTACTTGGACTTACTGCAAAGTCTTAATACATTCTACGATGACTGTAGTAGTCTTGAATGCAATTTGTGTTGCCACATCGAGCTCATGTGGGTTTTGTGTCTTAGTGATTGAAAGGACACACACACACAAAGCAAACATACACATTTCCCATGGCCTAAATGAACCTATCAACGTATTATTTATGTTTACTCAGGCATATAGATTGCATTGGCAGAGTTCTCATATGGTGAGAATTACACTTGAAAAATGCACTTAAATGAGGAAGATTTGCTATTCAAAGCCCAAATCTGCATTGTTCAGCAGAACTAATCTTTCTCGAACCTCTAGCCAAAATAATTTCCAATCTCTAACACTAGAATTCGACTTCTTTTAAAATTCTCATTTTTTTTTGCTCATGCCTTCATGGGGTCATGAAGCAGTTGGTTCCTTCTCCGAAAGGATGCTCCTAACTTCATTTGCAAGGTCCATTACATGTTTGTCATCGCATCCTACAGAGCTTGAATAATGTGAAATTAACAACTATATAATAGTGGGAGAAAGAAGAGAGGAAAATTTTAATAATAATAAGAGGGAAGTGAGAGGAGCTGACCTAACTGAAGCAGAGCCTTTTCGAGTTGAAAGAGGTAGTCTCTGTTGGGTCCTGAGGGGCCTTCTGCATGGATAATTTGTCTGCACAATGCAAAAAGAAACTGGGATTGATCTTGTTTCTGATACTCGCACCTGAATTATGGGTTTTCAAGCACTCAACTGGACATAAATAGCATGTTAAGAGGGATAGGATATGACTATTGTATCGAAAAAAACTTTTCAGTATCACCCAAAAATATTTCAAGCCTTAGATGTTGTTTCATTATATATGTGACCATTCATCGCGAAAATAATAAAATAAGTAAAAGAAGAGGTATGATACCAAAGTCGGACCCCTAAGTGGAGATATGTTTGCCTAGGACTGAAAGCAATTAACAGGATTCTGAGAGCAGCTTATTTTAAGAGTTTCTTGGCCAAGAGGGAAGAAACTATTTCCATCTAAACAACTGCCCATCCACTAAAGATTGAATGGGGCATATACAATTAATTAAGGTTTCAGTGCTTGGATTTAAGGGTTTCTCCAAGGAATAATGTCTTTGTCGATAATAAAAGAACCTTGGACAATAAAAATGCAAAAAAAAATTGATAAAAGGAAAATACTTGGCAATTTCTTCAAGTGATGCAGGACCCAAGTAGTTCTTGTTGAGCTTTTTGTCAGCAGATGCTATATATCTGAACAGACAAACTCTCAGTTTAGATCCAGTTGATTTCTGGAATCAATCATGTAAAACTCATAAGGTTTATAAGTTTTAGCTACTTACACCATGACTCTGGAAACTGTTGGCATTGAAGCTGTTAGATCCTGAACCAAAATTTATTAGGCTGTAATGCACCAAAATAATCAACCTAAAGTACCATACTGAAAACTCTATATTCCAGAAACAAATGGAGAAAACGGAACCAAAATAATTGAAAAAAGAAGTAGAGCTTACAGTGTAAAAATCAAGATACGCCTTCTTGTCATACTGTTTCTCCCGCACTTCTAGATACTGAATGTCAACACATCATGAAAACAAATTTTGCTGTAAATAATGAGTCACAGTATGAAAGGATAAAGTAAAATGCAACAGGAATATGACTCAGTAAATCTCCACAAGTCCTTGGTCATTAACAACATTGATGAAATGGTATATTTTTATCATCTATCTCCATCTTAATTCAACAAGCCCAATGTACCTTATAATCTATAAGGATCAACCGTTGTAGACAATTCAGGTTAAACTTAAGCTCCTCAAACAAGAAACATTCTGTATCCTTAGAATTTTCATCCATTTATTTGTTTACTGATGCATTTTCTTCTCAAAAAGTGCACAAGGTTCTGTTAATCCTTGCACAACTAGAATAATCAAGATTTTGAAGCACCTGCACCATGATTGGTATTTTGGTCATGCTAACCCAGAAAGGATTGAATCCAGTAACACCCAGCAGCATGCCGGCAACAAAATTTGGAAAGCTCGAGAATTATGAGCAGTGACAACAACCTTTTTCGTAGTGCAAAAGGCAATCTCAAAAAAAGGGCTTAGAACATAGAAGTTTAAAGCTTAATAATGAATGAAAGATGTCAAAATTATAGGAGTTGGGCAACCAATTAAATATGCAGTAGAGATGAGATACTCAACATCCATAGAATATAGAGCTCAAACAATGGAATAAGCATCATGTAACACCTTTTTTATTTATTTATTTTTTATTTTTTTTTTTGGGGGGGGGGGGCATGTAACACCTTAGAAAGTATATGCGCATTTTACCTTAAATCCCAAATGGGGTGAAAAGAGATAAGACCTGCTCTAAAAGTGCCTAGAATAAAAGTAACTAAAATGTTTGATGCTACAAGGATAAAGTTCTTGAATTTGGGAAGGTGTAACATCTTGAAATCCCACCTACTCATCAATCTTTGACTTATTCTTCTTCGCTTCAAAGGTAGGAAATGCTGAAGTTTTTGATAATTTTCATTGAAAGCTCTCAAGTAAATGCTCACACTAGGATGCTCCTTCAATGTAAAATATCTAAAAAAAAGGTTTATATGCAAGTACATATGCTGCAATAATTTTTAGTCGGTGCTTCTCTCTTTTGATATGCCTTGTCTTGCACATGAACATGAAGGTGGGTTTTTTTATTTTTCTTTTTTGGGGGTTGGGGTGTCTTCTGAAGGCAAAGAAAGAAAATGACACAACACCAAGAAAGATCAGCAAACCTTTGAATCTGAAGCAGAAAGGGGGAAAACACTAAAGCAAAAAATATAGCATGATGACTCCCATCCCAGCGAAAAAAAGCAGCCCAAAGCAATTCAAATGGTGAAAAGCAATTTTTCATTCAGTCGAAGTCTTGATTGATCCTTGTGCTAAGACACAGAAGCATCTTTTAAAACAAAATACCTACAACCAGCAATTGTTTGGTGTGTCAATATAGAAGCAATTGAAGCATTCTTCTAGGCAACCACAAATGCTACAAACAAATTTCCTGATGGTCATTCTCGTCGTTGTTAGAGAGCCATGTTTCGACTTTGTCTTAGGGTTTTCTCTTTTCATAGATCTTTTTTTTTTTTAATTCAAAAAATGTTTGACTAATCTTATTTTGGACACAAAGAGGCCTATTGGTAATATACAAAATTATAAGAAGTAAAAACCTTCTCAAGCTGATCTTTCCTAGCATGGTAATGTTTCCAAACACATAATCAATTGTGCATCAAAATTCCTCAGCGTAAGAAAAGATGACCAAATAAAGATTTTACAGATTAAGTAAAACCTTACCTCTAATGCAGTCTCTACATCTTCCTTCCTGGATACTTTGTAGGCGACGCCCCACTGTAACATTGCAAAGTTGGAGATTTACCAACTTAGAATATTTTAAAACTTTACTAAATCGTTACCTAACATATAGCTAATATCCTCACTTAATATGATCAATAAGCAAAAGGACATCTCAAGGTTCATCAAAAAGGAAGGAAAAAGCAAGGAATTGCAGATATCGGAAGGGATCATGCTTGTATCCAAATAACTCGTAGTTGACCCCATCCACACTTGCTTCAAAAGACTGATTATTCATTTTCCTTTCAAGGTATAAAGATTTTTTTTTCCTGCTTTCATCTTGTTCACCTTAATTTCTTTACCCTCGCAGTGGCCCTTGGTGACCTTAATTTCCGCGGACAAATTATCTTGTTTCTCAACAAAATGAGTAGAAACTAGATGACTCGTAATTGGGTTTCAAGGCTTCATTGAGTTTGAGTGGAACAAAAATAAAAGCTACTTTTAATAAGATTCAACATTGTTTGGGTACTGAATGTGTAGAGAACATAGAAAACTTACCCCATCACCAAGGCCTAATTAAGATAATCGAACTGGTATAAAAAAGGGTTTTGTCAAAGTATACTCTGTCATTCAAAATATGATGAGAGAAAAACTACCAGTCTGTGTATATTGAGTTACAACAGAGCATAATAAGTTTTAAATTTCCCTAATATTTCTATCCTACTTCAATTTTCATATGTTGACAGCAATCCATTCAAGTGTCCCACGCGTGGATTCCACAAATTAACATCTTTAAAATGTGCCAGATGCCCATTAAATTATACAGTTTAAGCAATGTTAATCTTCAAATTGAACTCAAAGATCACCTTTACCCTCAAATAAAGGTTATTACAGATTAAGTACAAAAAGATATTCTTGGTCTTGCAGAAGCAACTTACACAAACCTCCTCCTCTGCAGGCTCCAATGTAACTGTTCTTCCTGGGTACTCAGAGGTTCCTCTGTGGTCAGTACTGCCTGCCAAGAGAATCCAAGCAAAGCATTCATGAAAAAAATACAAGAACAGAACAGATGCACTACAAAATTACAGACACACACAAACGAGAGTGAGAGAGAGGTAAGACCTTGGTAGAAGACACGGCGATAGCCTTTGATAAAGCCCACAAGGCGATCATCATAGTGAAAGCCTGCTTTCCAGATTAGAGACCCATATCCAAAGACCCACATCACCATTTTTGGCCAAAAGCTCTCTCTTTCTCTCTCCTGAAAAAAGAAAACAAAAGGTACGAGAGAGAGACAGAGATCAGCTAACCAGAGAAGAGAGGCTGAGAGACGTAGATCCGGCTGACTGGGCACAAGAAAGAGAAGACAGAGATTCCATTCCCTATTCGTTGTGCCAGGTTAAGTCACCCAATGAGACTTTGCCAGATCAGAAGAAGGTCGATGTGGACAATATATTGGGCAACAATAACGTTAATGGGATCACGCAGTGTAACCGGTTTAGTGTCATCTACTGTAATTGCCTATTAACTTTCACAAAAATTTATAATCACACCAGTCATATATTTCCACGACAAAAAAATGGGCCCCATTTATAATTTTTATTAAATAATTATATTGTATCAGCATTCATATAATCACAGCACCCAATATTTACTCTACAATGTGGACCCACTACAGCTAAATTCCCATGAAATTACCATTGGTTATTGCGTTTAAAAAAAAAATTATTTGGTTATTTGTAAGTATAATTTATAATTTATACTCTCCAAATATGAGCAAGTTTTAATTTTATCCATCAAATTCCAGTTGAAATAATGAGATCTTTAAAGTTTTGGCGCACAAAAACAAGAAAAAAAAAATCACTAAAGTTTTTATCCTAATTCAATTGAATTATTCCAAACAGAATTGCTAAATTTTTTTTTTCAATAGTCAAACATATTCAAGTCAATTTATATGTATCTCGACTAATTCTGTTTTTGATTCAGCCAAAGACAGACCATTCAAGTCAAAATTAGGATATTCATGCGAAATAAATCTTCATGGCCGTACCCCTTGCCAAAATTCGAATTTAGAACTTCTATATTTACTTAAGAATAGCAGTGGACCGAAGCAGGGGGCAAGGGGGTATAGTCTTCGTCCCCGTATCCGCTTAAAAAAAATTTCGTCTATCTCCAGTCCATTCTAGTTAACGGGTATAGTTTTCATCTTCATCCCGTTTACGGGTAAATTTGAAATCTCCGCCCCTGCTAGGGATGTCAGTGGACCGAAGCGGGGGCGGGGAGTGTAATCTTCATCCCCGTACTCGCTTGAAAAAACTCCGTCCATCCCTGGTCCACTCTCGTTAACGGGTATAATTTTCATCTCTATCCCCGTCCGCGGGTAAATTTCTAATCCTCATACCCGCCTAAGCTCAAGCCTAAGTCCAAGTAGTATAATCCAAAATTCTAAATAGATATAATATTTTAAATAATCCAACAACATTTTAAATAATCTAACACAACATAATATAGATTACAAAATTAAAAAGTCAAAATAATATAGTATTCTATTTAAAGTGTTATTGGATCACAAAAAGAGAAATGTAACGTTTATATATATATATATAACGGATAGTGGGGGCGAGAGTAAGGGTAAGTCCATCCCCGCCTTCATCCCTGTACGAATTTATACGGGTATTCCCGTATACGTCCATCGTTCAATACGCATACTCCATCCTGGTCCAGACAGGACCGATTTGGATGAATACCCACTTTTCCCCGATGCACTGTCATCCCTAGACCTTGCCTAGTCCCCCGCCTTCACCTCCACCCCCACCCCCATCCACCTTATCCGCTCAAGCCCAAACCAACATAATCTAATATTCTAAATAAAATATAACATTCTAAATAATCCAACATAATTATAAAATATCATAAAAAAATTAAAAGTTTGTCATTTACAACATAATATAATTAAAAGTTTATTTTCATTGTAAATCCAACATAATATCGTGCAACACAACTTAATATAACATAATATAATATAACATAAAAAATTATAAAAATACAAAATTCTACACTTTTACAAGCAAAAAACATGAAAGAAAAATAAAAAAATAAATAATTTTCAAAAGAAAAATCATTCAATAATATGTAAATTTGTATTCATAGTAACATGTGTGTGTACATATATATATATATAAAATAATAATAATAGTAATGGGTAAAGTGGGGGTGGGGGCGGAGGCAGGGATAAGTGTCAGTTCATCTCCACCTTCATCTCTGTACGGATTTATACAGGTATCTCCGTATACATCCATCGTCCAATACGTATGATCTATCCCCGATTTAAACGGGACGGGTTTAGACGAATATCCATTTTTATCCGGTCCACTGTCATCCCTAGGTTTACTATTTATCTTTGTTACAACTTAAGATAGTTATTTATAGGGTAAACTCACAAAATTAGCTGAATTAATTTTTTACCCCTCTTTATGGAAACTAAATTAGCAATGTACGAAATTCAATCAACAAAATAATTAAAGCATATAATCAAGACACAAAATTTACGTGATTCTCTCAAATTTGGGGTACCTCCATAAACACTGATCTCAACCTTTTACTATATTTCAATAATAGGTTACAACAATCTTTTTCAGAAACTATCAAAGTATTAATAATTTATCACCCGTAGATGGACATCAACAAAATAACAAGAAAAGATTTAACTCGATAAATCTTGTAAAAATATCAATCTAATTTTTTTTAACAAAATAAATTCATCATTATAAAAATTTCATTGTTGTAAGCAACGTCTAAAATTACATCAAAATCGATCGTTGATTGCTTGCCCGTATTATTTTGGCTAGAAAATCCCACGCGAAAAACTCTTTTAACTTCTTCTCTCGAGTTGCTAAAAAACCCTATTGTTTTTGCGCCGCCTCTTGCTTCTTCTTTTTCACACATCCGGCTAAGTGTTGTCTTCTTTTCCTGGTGATATTTGGCATTGCAAAAACCCCAATAGAATACAAAGTATTCTCACTGAAAAAAAAAATATAGAATACAAAAGGCTCGTTTGGTAGACGTATTATGAGGGAATTAAATATTTAATTGTACTATTTTTTATTTAATTAGGCCTAATACCTTGTTTGGTAAACAAATTTGATACCGTATTAATTTTAGAAACATATACTTATCTTATATTTTTTATACAATAAACATATATTATGGAGGTTTTTTAATACAATCAAAAGAGGTGGTATTATAATCCAACTCAATCGTATTATTCTACGCATTTACTATTATAACCCCCCAAGTGATAAATTCAAGTTATCATCAATGTAATAAACACTGATTGATGATTATTTTTGTTAATTCAACATTAATACAATGAAATAATTCTCTAACCAAACAACTGATTGGATTAAATAACTACTATCCAACGCTTATATTGTGTATTGTCCAACACTAGATAAAATTATGTATTATTCTAATACTATATTTAATCTTGTTTTTAATCTATCTGTATTGTATTAAATTGTATAATTTTATCTAATCCATCTAGTTTTAATACAACAACCAAACGAGCCCAAAGTGTATTCAAGTAGTTTTGACCGCATTATTTCCAAAACACCCTTTTTTTGTGTTTATTTAATTTAAAAAGTAAAAGAACATCAAATAAATAAACCATGGGTCATGGATCTATTATTATGATTTGGGTTGTTCACATGGGCCAAACCCAAACCCAAACCCAAATCCAATAATATTCCCCTCCTACACATGTGGGGGCTCAACCAAACCCGCTTTGTTTTGATTAATATTGAGTTGTTTTTTTGGACAGTGATTTAGTCATTATATCTCAACCGTTCTCATAAGTATGAATCTTTTCAAGCTGCAATAATTTTATCTCCAATACATAACAAATTCAATGATATCTCTCGTTAATATGCTTAGATCTTGAGTGAAAGGTTGGATTTTTGTTGACTTTAATGACAACAGTTTATCAACCTCTGTGGTAGATAAAGCAACACCTATATGTAACTTGGACTGCATGACCTTGTTCCATCTGAATAAGTAATCAAATAACTTGAAGTAGATTTCTTAGGGTCAATACCCTTTTTTTGACAATACTTTCACAACCAGTCTTACTTTGTACTTGGACTGTGAGCTATTTGGTTCGACCTTCAATTTAAACACCCACTTATTCTTGAGTACTCTCTTACCCTTAGATCATTTCACAAACTCATAAGGTGAGGGTCTCATGCAAGGATTTTATCTCCTTTTGCATGGCTTTCTGTCATTCATTCTAAGTGTGTGACATAACTTCTTCAAAACCTTCAAGCTCTCCACCACCTGTGAGCAATACATATTCATCAGTAGAATACCATCCGGGAGGTCAATGCTCTCTAGTAGATCTTCTCAGTTGAGTTTCAACAGATGATTCTGGAGGAACTGACTCTACATGCTGAGGTGGTTCTAGAAGGAATTGTTTTGGATGTTCTAGTTCTCAAGACATAAATATAAACATATAGCACGCCAAAACAATACATTAATCTTAAAATTCTAATGAACAATTTCACCAAAACTCAATTCATGCAAGAAATGGTTTTAACTCATTCTTACACTCATTTTACACATTTCAACTATACTAGGTATGTATCATACGTGAGATTATATCTCTAATACTTACCCATTTTCATATTTTAACCCTAAATTGAAAATAACCTAGTTAGGAAAGGAATTCTACCTCTTATAGCGTAATACCACGTAAGAGAAGAAAGAGAGAAAGAGAGAGAGTGGAGAAGAAGGCGATCAACTTAACTCAAGGGTGGAGTCAGAAATTTTGTTCAATGGGGACAACTTAAACCATATGAATATTAAAATTACTAATGTTCACAAAAGTATAATTTCATTAATAGAACGATAATTAAAGTAACAACTCATATACATGAGCGCTATACAAAAAGAGCTAACGAAAAAAGTTAACTATAAAATTTATCTATAAGACCTAATCACCTAACAAAAAAAATTGGTTCTATCATATATATTTTGAATTTTAACAACCAATCAAAACAAACACAAATTATGACTATTCTATTAAACCAAATTTTAGTATAGGAATTACT